ATTCCTATATGTAGTGTATTCTACATTTATCCATTGCTACCTCTCACTCACCCTTCATCATATCCACTCTGGCTTTCTGCTCCTACCACCTAGTGCCACTAAGACCTCCATGTGGCTAGGACAAGACACTTTCTTCGATTCTCACCTAACTTACTTCCAGCAATACCTGACAACAATCCCTTGCTTTCCTTGGGACACTCTCCTCCTAAGCTACGGTGACCCCATACTTTGCTTCATGTTGTGGCTCATTTTTCTTGAGCTACAATCTTCTTTGTACCATCAGTTTTCTCTACCTGCTCTTTTAATTCATAGAGTTCCTTAGGGCTTAGTTCCTGGCCACCAAACTTTTCTCTCTTTGTTTTTTTCCACTGGCTAGCTTCAATTACAAACTTATACTCTAGGCAAAAAGTCTCTACTCGCCACACACACTTCCAGACTATCTACTCAAAACAGCAACTCAGATGCCTTAATGACACCTCAAAGTTAATATGCCTAGAACCAGATTCATGATCACTTCATCCAACCTGTTTAATCCTCTGATTCTATAAATGGCACTATTCTCAATCAAATCCTCAAGAGGCAGCCTCTTGTTCTCATCATCTCATCAACTACCAAGACTTTTTTATTCTACCATATAATATATTCCAAATCCATCCACTTCTTATTTCTACTGCTACCATTCTATTATGCATCTTGCCTTTGGTGGTACCAAACTCTCGCCAATTTACTTCTTCAGTACATCTATACTTGACCTCCCTATGGATTCATTCTTCTCTACCTGACTACTTGAAATGCTTCTGCCCCTACCACCTAACATCACTAAGACTTCAATGTGGCTCACCGTAGCCTCTTTTTTCCTCTTACTGTAACCTGAGCCTTCTCCCTAGGCTATCTTAACCTCACTCACTGTTTTAATTATCCTCTATGGACCAGGTTCTTGCAAATTTACATTTCATACTCAGTCCTGACATCTCCAGTTGGATAACTGGGCCAACTAAAGACAATTCAATTTAATTAATTCCAAACCAAATTCATACCATCTCCCATACTCGATCTCCTTCCAGTGAATGATATTTTGTTCTTTCCAGAACGAGCCACCAACTAAGCAAGTATCCCTAACAATTCCATCTCCTTTATTTTCCTTATCAATTCCATCTCTAAGTCCTATTTTTACTTTCCAGATATCTTTGGAATTGGCTTGCTTCTTTCTATGTCCATCAGAACTAACCTAGTCTTAGTCATTTCTGCATTTATTGTAAAGCTGGAAGTCTACTCTGGCCAGCCACTATTTTAGACAATAGGGAAGTGGGAATGAATGAAAGAGGCAATTCTTCATAAGGGAGCTAACAATGCAAAGAAAGAGACAGATCATATATAAATATGTACTATTATGCAGTGATAAGCATGCTGAGGGGAAGAAACCTGTGGGACATGAGGAATGAGTCATGCATGCATGCGGTCATCAGGAAAAAGAATGGGTATCAGACAGGAAAAGTAAGTGCAAAAAAAGAGATGAGAGCCAGGGTGATTAGAGTCCTTGCATAAAGGGCAGAGAACAAGTAGATGAAGGTCAAGAGGCTAGACCATTATAGGTCTCTAAAGGCCACAATGAAGATTCTTGATTGTACTCCATGGAATGGAATCCTCTAAAGGCTTTGAGCATGCAGCATTATGACATTATTTACTTTTTAAAAAGATCCTTTTGATAGCTACAAAGGAAAGAGAAGTTGATGGCAGCAGGGGGAGGTAGAGGGCCCATGTATGGGTCTTTGATGGAGGGCAGGGGGACAGCAACAGCACTAATTCATACATATTAAACAGGGCTGCAGAGTATTGTGACTCCACTGATACTGTATAAGAAGTCACTTTTTAAAACCATTGCATGCCACTTTGGTAGGGCTGCTGCTAATCTGTATAGCAGCTTGTGCAAATCAGGAAAAGACACCTTTCCTTCAGGCAGATGCTGCCCAGGCAAACCTCACTAGAGCATAGCAGGTAACACTCGAGGTGACCACCCTGCATTTCAGTCCATCTTAGATGGCTTCTTGCTTTGAGAGGACAAAAGAATTGGAAACAATGGGAAGAAAATATTATCTTTCACTGCATGGAATCTAATATTTTTACATTTGGGTGGGAACCAAACTTATGAGCTGTACAAACAAGTTTAACTCCATTATTCTTAGTACAACTATTCTAGAAAAGCACAACCTCAAATGATTATGCTTTTGGTTCATATTCTAAGCAAGAGACCCAAATCAGAGATGCAGACCCTTTGAGCCATATCCTCCTGTCTTTTAACTTAAACGTAGAAAGCCAGGGATGACACAGGTTGTTTTTCTCATAAGTTTTTTTTTTTTTTGGGGGGGGGGGCGTTGTTCCTATTTATTAATAGTTCTGAATTGAAAAATAACTTTGTAAAAGTGCATTCTGAGGCTATTGGAGGTTCTAGGGAATCCTGCTCTCAGAGCATGAGCTTTTCTGTAACTGGTTTTTCAAGGGTTAGGATTTTGGTTCTGGCTGAAAGTTAATTATAACAGTAGGTACTTCCAAGAACATCCAGGTCCTTCAACTGTGCTCTTGGGGAGTGAGCTCCTTTTGGGAAGGGCTGTTCAGAGGACACCATAATCCAGGGACATGGGTGCCTCACCAGAGGTGTAACACATTCACACCACACATCAGCTCCCCTAGGACTACCACCTCATGTCTACCTTTCACCAAAAAGAGGAAGTCCACCCCATGGGGTAGAGGGTAACAGCACAGAAAATAGTTTTGATATCCTTCATTGTACTTAGTGATCACTCACAGCTTTCCTTCAAGGCTGTCTTCTGAAGCTGAGAAGGGGTGAGTTGAGAGGTGAGTGTCCAGCCTCTCTCTGAACAGCCCTGAATCTTGGTACTCAGTCTAATTTCACTCACACTTACCTTTCTCATGAAGGAGACTCACTCCTCCTTCAGAAGCTCCCAAGGCAGGTGATTTCTCCTAATCACAGGTTATGATTCTTTCTCCTCTTTCTCTGATCTTTCCCACCAGAGTCAGGCCTCATATAATAGCCAGATTGATGCCTCCTAACTCCAAAGTTTCCCTGCTATCTGAGCTCTCTGTTTATGTTGGGGTGGTTTCTGGTAGTTTCCAAAGAATTCATTTATTTCTCCAAAATGAGGGTTAAAAGATAGACAACTAGGGTTTCCATCTCAAAAATTGTCACCTTAATTGAGAAGTCCCCAGCATGGGCACTGTTGTACCAAGGCAGTCTGTCCTGTGCTCTTTCTTCCCTGGGCTGGGACATGGGAGGCTGTCTCTGACCGTCTGACTTGACGTAGCCTCCTATGTGTCTCCTCTCTGTTCTCAGGCTCCCTAAGTCAGTTGGAAGCTGCTTCTGTGGAGGGTGAACCTGTGCAGCTCTAGGAAACTCACAACTCTTCAGCCCTTCCCAGGCTCTCCAATTCTCAGACCAAATCCTGTGACAGGGCCAGGGCTCAGCAGGATCTGTTTCCACTGCTGTCTTCTGCAGTTTCTTCTACTCTTCTTGCTTGACACTGACCTTTCTCCAGACCTTCCCTGACACCACTTCCTATGCCTCCACAAACTCAGATCCCCAGCCTTTCTTGGATGACAACCACTTCTTCTGTTTCTTTCTTCTGATAATTTAACCTCAGGTTTGTTCACAAAGTCCTTTCTCTCTTAACCATCTCTCAAATGTTGGTTTCCTAGGATTCTGTTTTCTGCTCTGTTCCTTTACCTGGTCAACTCAAGGTGGCAATTACCCCTTTGAACTGAGGGTTCCCTGCCCTCTACTTGGAGTGCCATCCAGTCTGTCTCCCTTACACAACTGCCCATCTGTAACCTCTACCCATGTATGTTACTCACATCTCAAATGAAAACCATTCCACACTGAATTCCTCAGACTCCCTTATCAAGCTGACTCCTCCTCTGCCCCCTGATCCTCACAGCAGGTGCCTCTAGTCCAGGCCCACTGGCTTCCTGCCTGGAATCCCATGAATTCTGTGAGGCTTCCAACTCTAGTTTTGCCTCACTTCAATAATGCCTCCTAAGTGACCATTCTTATTAACTTCTAATTAAGAGAACTTCGTGAACATATTCTCTTTGTGAAAATTAAAACATTACATGGAAACAAAGTCCCCTTTTATTAGATTCATTCCAAGAGTAATTGCTGTTACCAGTTAAGGTGTGTCCTTGTAACTCTGTGTGTTTTCCAAACCTTCCTCTCAGTGCTTATTTGCATATTTCACAAACACCTAATATTCTTTAAATATAAATAGTAACATATGGTGATATTTTGTAACTTGCTTTATTCCTTGATGTGCCTTGCAGCTCCATCCACATTAGGGTGTTCTTTCTTTCTAAACTGTGGCAACATTTGCCAGAGTAAGGACACATCATTGTTTCTTTAGCCATTCCTTTATTAAGGAACATTTGTTTCTGATTCAGACCAATTTTTCTAAAATATCAGGGATTAAAAAGTTCTTCTGCTTAAATTCTTCAAATATTTCTGGTCATCCATGGAACAGTTCAAATCTCTTAGAACCGTACCAAAGCACTTACAGTGTGGCCCTTAGACAGCCTCCCATCTCATTTTCTTCCTTGTCTTTTTCATACCTGCAGCTTCAGCTAGAATGAATTATTTATAATCCCTTAAATTACACTGTTTATTGAGTGAATACATAAAATGCAGCCCTTTTCAGAAATAACAGGAAAGAATAAAAAGAGCTCTAGAGAGATTCATTTTGTGAAGTGATTATGAGCAAAGAAGCAGAAGCACATGTCTAGGGGCCTGGGCTTTCCCTTCCCCATCAACTTTTTGAGGCCTGAGAACCCTAAAGGAAGTTTCCCAATTAACACACTCCAAGCTGCACCTTCCTCTGAACCAGACTGATACCTGCAGCGATTCCTCTCTGTGCTTATTTGCATATTTCACAAACACATAATATTCTTTAAACATAAATAGTAACATATGGTAATATTTTGTGCCACCCACTCACCAAGAGAGGTGCCTCCAGGGTTTTCTTTCTCTACCTTCCAGGGATCTTCTCCCTCCTGCAACAGGGAGATCACCTTTGGTTTGATAAATGGGAGTCCTCCTAATAGAAAATAATTAAAATTTAAAAAACTCAGAAAAACACAAAACGAAGATCAATCTGTTACAGAGATTACATGTGGCCCACAAAGCCTATACTACCTGGCCTTTTATAAAGTTTGCTGACCCCTAGAAAAAGCAAATGGGAAAGGCAAGTGGAAGGTCCAGAGGTTGGATGAAACCTTCTGCCAAGAGTTGCACACACCACAGAACAATCACAGTGGGAAAATGACACCAGAACTATGAAGAAACTTCTAATGTGTAATTACATAGAAGGAAGGTGATGGTTACCAAGACCACCTCCTCCATTCCTAAACACAAGGCAATTCTATACCAGTAAGAGGAACATGTTCACAATATTTATTTACAAATATATGATTTGTATAATCATAAGGCAAACCTCAGCTAAACTTTTTTGATGACCAACAGCTTTTATTCAGGGAAGCAGGTGCTGAAGTCTAATTTCTGAACTGTGTCCACAGGGGATTTCCTTACCCAGTGAGGCCAGGTTACTATAGTTCTCCAGTATCACCTCCCGGTACGAGCTTCTCTGGGAAGGATAAAGCTTTTTCCACTCATCCTGAGTAAAGAGCACAGCCACATCCTCGAACATCACTGATACCTGTAAGAACAAGCCACTCCAGCTCTCCCAGGACCAGCCCTCACACAGCATATAGATGGAGAAAATGGAGGACAGGCTATCATGAAATCCTGTTTATACTATTTAAGGTTCTCGAGGTGCCAGGTCTTTTATTTAATGAATATTCATCCAGTGAGAAAAATACACCCAACAGAAAGAATTATGAATGTAGCTGCTATATCTTGGGATCTTGAGCGACCCCCAAAGGCCCAGGTGTTAAAGGCTTGGTTCCCAGCCCAAGATGCTTTTGGGAGGTGGTGGAAACTTTAAGAGTTGTGGCCTAGTGAAAGGAAGTTAGGCCAATAGGGTGAGCTCTTGTAGGGGATTTGGGACCTTGGCCCCTTCTTATTTCTCTCTCTCCATGTTCCAACAGTCATGATGTGAGCAGCTTCCTCTGCTATGCACTTCTGGTCATGAAGTAATGTTCTACCACAGGCCCAAAATGACAGGCTTAAGTAACCATGGGCTGAACCTCTGAAACCATGAGCCTAAATAAACATTTCCTCCTTACAAGCTTATTGCCTTGGTATTTTGTAATATCAATGGAAAGCTGACTAACACACTGGCCTTGTGTTAACCACTACAAAAGATGTGTAAAGGGATTAAGGCCATTAGTGAGAGTGTTAATTAGAACGATCTGACAGATTTGATAATACGTATTACAAAGCCCGGGAATGTTTATATTCTTAACTTACCAATGATTGTATTTGTACTATAATGAACAGTACACAAAATTGCACATACAAGGAAACTTATCATGGTGTTTGCAGTAGCAAAAAATGGAAAAAACCTAAATATTCATTGATGAAGACTAGGTTAAATAACTTAAGACAGGCAATGTCTGCTTATTTGAATTGAAGATAGTAATTACAAAAATTAAAATAGCTGTCAGTTATTGAATGCTTTCTATGGGCAAAGTACTGCTCTTAAAGCTTTATGTTAATCTTTTATGTGTAATCTATTTAATCTTCACCACAACTTAAGAAGGTAATATCATTGTCCCCATTCTACCAAAAAAAAAAAAAAAAGTACGAAAAGGATAAGAAATCTGTCCTTAAAAAGTCACACAGCTGGTCAGTGATAGAAATGGAATTCCAAACCCAGTGGTTGTCCTAGACTCCATTCCTAGTCAATCTGTACATCTGCTTCTCAATGCCTACCTCATAGGGTTAGGAAATATATAAATGAGATAATCTATATAAGAAGCTGAATTTCTTTGAAGAAGCCACATCTATATTTTGAATTAATTTTTATTGGTGCATTATAATTATACATAATAATCAAATTTATTGTGACATAGTTGTACATGCATATAACATAAATCAGTCAGTTTTATTCCCCAGTGCCATCTATATTAAAGATCAAGCAGACTGACCTCAGCTGAGAACATCCTGATTATGGAGAGATGGCAAGTTGCAGGTTGAGAGTCAAAATTAGCTTGGGCTACATTATGGCCTTAGAAAAAGAGTCATTTACTTAAACTTTTGTATCTCACCTAACATTCTCCTAGGTAAACCTCTTAAAATGTATTAACGGCTTAACAGACCTCTAGTCTCCACCAACCCTAAAGCTAAGAAGGCTGCAACAGTCAATACCTATAGGAAAAACTTTCCCTTTCTGCTACAGCTCACCTACCTACTGGCCTCACCAACATATTTCTTAAAAATATTGATTCATGACTTTTGTTCTTTGGCTATAAGTTCAGGTAATCTCTTCCACAGCAGAAGAAGTCATTCAGGCAACTTGAATCCATGTTTCTGTGCCACTCATACTTGGTTCAGAGTAAGTTATCTTATTTTCTTTAAAGTCAAGTTATTGTTTTATGTTATCATTTACAATGGAGATGGATAGTGATGATGGTTCCTTAACAATGTGAATGTATTATATATGGTTCCTTAACAATGTGAATGTATTATTGTAAAATGTCACTGAATTATACACTCAAAAATGATTAAAATTATACAGTATGTACATTTTAGAATAAAAATTTAAGATAAAATACATATACATATGCACATAGATAAATGGACATATAAAATGATTTTTATGGATACACACCAAAGGGCTGTCAATGGTTATCTCTAGATGTAGAAGCAAATGACTCTTTACTTTCTTTTTTTAAATGTGATATCATGAAATATACACTTGGTCTTCATTCCATTTCTTGACATGGAGCTCCTAAAATCCACAGAATCTTCAAAAGTGATGAATGACAAGTGACTTTTTGTATGCTAAGAACTGACAAAAGCTAGGAGCTGACAGTGAAGTTGGCCAATGATTTAATATATAGTGCCCTGTCGCGACCCCTTGCCCGCAAGGAAGACGCAACTCGGGAATCTTCTTTCAACAGTTTATTCAGGCCCCTGATATTTCTTCTTCTCTCTCCCGGATGCCCCTCCCAGCCTTAATAAAGCATCCCAAGCCCCAATGCAAAGCTGCCGCATGGAGCTTTCTCACAGGGTGGTGAAAAATCATGTGCCAACTTTCCCAGATAAGAAGTTGTTTGTCACAGACCACAGTGGAGCCAGCGACATCTTGTAATGGCGACCATAGTCTGCAGAAACGGCAGAAGCGGCTCACCACAGTTCCCCCTTTTCTGTTTTCTTAAAACAATACAGGCGAGAGTAGAGGTCCTATCCCACTGTGCAGAAGTGGCTGCATAGTATGGCTCAGTCCTAAGGAGGCACCTTCCCCAGATCTGAAGCCATATCAGCCGACGCCTTTTTTCATGGGGCGGGGCGTGAACGCGTCTAACCCGCATGCAATAGGACATGCTCTCCTTGAGGTCCACGTCAAGGATCACTCAAGTGCAGTGCCTTGCCTCGCATCCTGTATCGTGACGATGGTGGACGAAGGGGGATAGCTGAGGCTGAACTGTGGCTGTTTATAATGACAAACAAGTTGACAGCACCCTGAAAGAAAGGCACGAACTTCAAGGCGATAGAAAAGCACTAGTGTGGAAACCCATCTGCGTGCAATGGCAGTAAGACCGGCAGAGTGCAAGGGCTTTCCAACACTAAGAGAATAACAAGGAAAGTCATGTCGATCCCAGTGCAATGTTATAATAACTTGGGGTGTAACGACCATGACAAAGGTTTACTGCTTAAGATGCGCAAGCCAGACTTGAGGCGAGTTGCCATTTTCTAAAGCTGCAAGAGCTTGTATGATCATAGCCTTTTCTTGTGCATGGCGAGTTTTAAGGCGACAGAGAAGCCACAAACAAAGTACAACACCGAAGCAACACATTGCACCAAAAATGCCTACTCCCACCCACTCTTTGAAGAAGGAAAAAGCAGAAGATATCCAATCGGTGAATTGACCCAAAGTCACTGGTTCAACACAGGTACTATTCAAAACAGCAATCTGAGTTAGTTGAGACTGGATCAAGTTTTCTGCTTCCATGGACCAGGTTCCGGATAGATACTCTCCAATGATGCGGGAGGCATTTCTGGAATCATAAAATCTGACAGAGGTTATACATAAATGTGCATGTTGATCAACACAACCCAAATGTACTAGGTCAGACAATTCCTCAACTTGAGCTTGAAGCAGATCTATCCTTTGATGAGCAGCCAGAATCCCAGATAAAATGTGTTGATTAATTTTACTTTGAGATTCAAGTATGGTGGATGTTTGTTGAATAACCTGATTAATAGTGGCAGCAGTTTGTACCTGGCTGGCCATGGCTACTCCAGCTATAACTGCTGCAGCAGCAGATACCGCCACAGCTGTCACTATAGCTGCCGTAATTCCAAAATCTCTATGGGCTCTAATCAGTTCAACAATAGGAAAAGACTCTGGATCTGCAGTAACCAGGATCGGGACAAAGGTTGGAATTTTCATAACCACTGCCATAGTCCAGGAGCCATTCCAACACTCAGACAAATAGCAGGTAATATTAGAACAATTAAGCATCCCCTGTAATGTAACATTAGCCAAAAGAAACAGGAACGGAGATTGGAGATGGACTGCTGCGGAGGGTAATGTAGCATTAGATAATTGTGAATTATTTGCAGAAATTTTAAGCCTCCTACCTCGCTCCGAGTCTTGGGTACTGCCAGAAACATTAAACAGCCAACTTTGGACTCCTAATATTTCCCTGGGGAAACACAAGCGCGGACTAGACTAGCCCAATCTGAGGGAGTCATGCAAAATCTAGTAAGTCCCTCCACCTGAGTGAGAGTGAAAGCGGCATCTATGCCATAAGTGCGGACAGATTCTGCCAAGGTTTTAATTATCTTAAAGTCTAAAGGCTCATGATATCTTCCCCTGTTATTGTCCTGAAATACAGGGTATGCAAGTCCCATATCTGTATTAACTGTCCTCCAAACTTGTGCATGAAAAGATCTCCCGGAACCTTGGCTCCCCCCCACATACGGAGGTGGGGCAATTGGCACCATATCTCCTTCTAGATATTCTACCTCCTCCTCCTCAGAGTTTTGTTGACCGATGTTAACTCCCTTCCCCTTCTTACAGTAGGCCTGCGTGCCCTGTGTCTCCTTTTTCTTCTTTTTCATTTTTATCTTATGTAGTTGTTGTAACAATATATCAAGGTCCTCAGAACTCTCTGAGTCGCTTGTGTTCTCAGGCGTTTTTAATTCGGTCAAGTCTGGGTAGAGCCTTCTCCTGTTTTTATCTTCAGGCTCTTTTGCCTTCTCACTACTGTTACTTTTAATACTCTCTGCCACTTCACTACATGATCCTTAAGATTTTTCCTCATGCAGCTGCTCAAGAATAGCTTGACCCTCACTCACAGCTTCCTGGCATTTACCATCTGTTATACATCCTCTAACTAACTTCCAAAGTGGTATAATGCCACCCTGCAAGGTACCTTGCTCATGAGCGAAATCTAGATCTTTCCCTAATTTGTCCCAGCTGGGAACCGTAAGACTCCCTGAAAAAGCAAACCAAGGAGCCGCTATATCAGCTTCTCTTAAAAACATCTGCAAAGTACTCTGCTTTATCTTAAGTCCTTTTGAATGTAACAACCCATCTAGGGCCAACAAAATTGGGCTTGAAGAAGCAACGCCCATAATGTTTTTAGAGCTATAAAGAAAGTGAAAGTACAAAAGTCCCCGCTCTCTTCCTTTTACAGGGGAGCATCCCTGTCGTCACAACAACAAAAGAAGCACAAAAAACAAAAGCGAAATGACACAACAAAAGAAACACAGAAAACAAAAGCGAAAGTACACAGTGCAGCTGCAATAAAATGTAATGCTCTCTCTTTCTTTACAGAGGAGCTGCCCCGCTTTGGTCGCGGATCCCACTTACCTGGGACTAACCGGTGCACCACCCCTGACTGCTGAAAGTTCTGGTTCCCGGGTCTCGGCACCACTTGTCGCGACCCCTTGCCCGCAAGGAAGACGCAACTCAGGAATCTTCTTTCAACAGTTTATTCAGGCCCCTGATATTTCTTCTTCTCTCTCCCGGATGCCCCTCCCAGCCTTAATAAAGCATCCCAAGCCCCAATGCAAAGCTGCCGCGTGGAGCTTTCTCACAGGGTGGTGAAAAATCATGTGCCAACTTTCCCAGATAAGAAGTTGTTTGTCACAGACCACAGTGGAGCCAGCGTCATCTTGTAATGGCGACCATAGTCTGCAGAAATGGCAGAAGAGGCTCACCACAGTGCCCGTGTTAATGGAGCCTCCAGAAAAACTCAAAAAGAAAGGATTTGGAGAGTTCTTTGAGGGTGGCATACCATACCTCATTTGATGCACCTCTTTATTTGTATCCTTTCTGATAACTTATTTTTTATTGTTTTGGTGATAATTTTTATAATAAGCTGGTACATGTTTCATTAATTTTGTGAACTGCTCTACCAATTTAATAAAGAAGGGGTTGCCAGGGAACACTAATTAATATCTGGTTGGTCATAACTGGCCTAAACTGCTGACTGAATTGGGGAAAGCCTTTCAGAGCTGTTACCCCCAGGAAGACAGTGTCAAAATTAAATTAAATTAGGCTGGAGTGGTGGCTCAGTGGTAAAACACTTGCCTCACATGTATGAGGCACTGGGTTCAATTCTCAGCACCACATAAAAATAAATATATAAAATAAAGGTATTGTTTCCATATACAACTAAAAATATAAAAAAAATAAATTGAATTAAAGGACACCTAGCAGGGTCTGCTTCTGTAGCATTACTTGCTCTGTGAGTGAGGAATCTCCCTGTTCTGCCACTCCTAGCAATTTTGCGAGAGTATAGTGGGAAAAACTGACTTTTACTATTCATATATTTTTTTTTAATTCTCTGAAATTTATAGCATGAGCATGCAATATATGACAAGAAAAACAATTTATTGGTATATGGAAGGAATATAAGTAATGATCTTTGCCCTCTAAGAATTTACAATCCATATTGTACACAAAGAAAATGCATTAAATGATTTGAACAATGAAAGACAGCTGTGTAGAGGTTGTGGGTATAGTTCAGCAGTAGAGTGTCTGACATGCAAGAGTCCTGGGTTAGATCTCTAATTCTGCAATACAACAAAACTGGCAGGACAGGTAAGACCATATGCCATCTTCTACTTCAATCTTCATTTCAGAGACAAGGAAAATCAAGTGCAACCAAGAACTGAGATCACATGCTTTTACTAGTGGCAGTAGCAAGACCATAACTTAAGTATTCCAGTTGTGAATCCAGCACTCACTCTGGTCTTAAAATTCCTGTCACTGAGTTTTACATACCACATCACCCCGTACTAACCCATGGGCAGCAGGTGAGGATAGGGAGATGCAGTAAGGGGATTCACCTACACACAGGGATGAAGAAAGTTTTTTGCAGAAGAACAATTTGGCCCTGTCCGAATAGAATGGGAAAGGCTTAAAGAAAACAGAGAAGCTGAAACATACAATGGTGGGTCCTGGCCATAGCCTCAGAAAATGAAACTCCACCATGTTTGCGGGTCCCTGGAACAGGTAGCTGGGTCTGTCCATACTCTGAATGACATACCAGAGAAGTGGCTGGTCCAAGCATGGATTGAAGGTCAGATGTACCTGAGAATGAACTTGGGTTACTTGATTTCTTTGAGCCTCAGTTTTTTCTTATGTCTATAAAATGGGGATGTTTTAGTCAGCTTTCAGTTACTATAGCAAACACCTAAGGTGGTTTATTATGGTTCACAGTTTTGGAAGTTTCAGTCCATGATTAGTCCTGTTGTTTTTGGGCCTGTGGTGAACATGAAGGAGAGGAAGCCCATTCATCCTACAGCTGGGAAGAAAAAGAAAGAAAGAGGAGGAGGCCAGGGTCCCAGTATTCCCTTCAAGGGCTTCAAGTCAGGTCACACTTCCAGTGACCTAACTTCCTCCTACTAGATCCCACTTCCTAAAAGTTCCTCTGCCTCCTAATAGTACCACAGGTTAAGGGCCACATTTTAAACATATGGGCATTTAGAGATCATATTATATAGGAGATAATTGATCCAAATTATATAGGGGATAACTGCCATGCTGTTGTGAGAATGAGAAATAACAAATGCAAAACCCTCAGAACATTCCCCAGCATGTTGGACACTCAAGAAATACCAACTGTTAGTTAGTGTTAGATGAAGATAAGTAGAGAAGGACTAGTATTTTCTGGGTCCTAGAAACATTGTATAATTAAAAAAAATTTATGATGCTGGGGATAAAACCCAGGGCCTTATAAAAAAGCTAGGCAATCACTCCACCTCCAGTTTTTACTAATTTCTATCCATGAAATTAATATTATTATTAATATAGTATCATTCAGCTACCACAATAAGCATACACTGAGCAATTATTATGTGCCCAGCCTTGATCCAAACACTTTTTATGTACTAACGCATGTCATCCTCTCATCTATCCAAGGAAGTAGGCATAGCTGTTATTTTGATTTTAAAGGTGAGGCACTAAGAGGTGGAGTTATTTGCCCAAGGCCCATAAACAGTAACAAAGGAATTGAGTTAAAATGTGGCTGTCTGTCTTGAGGACTCCACTTCCCAACCATAGCATGTGCTGGTTCTCTATCACCAACATCTCACAAGATCCTCATGGAAACCTCCTGCAGCTTCCTGAGGAGTATATTCTTTGCCTTCAGAGAAAGAGACCTCGTCACTGTGTGCCCTGCAACATAGCTATTTTTTGTTCAAAGGTTATGTCACCTGCATGGGGTACCTCCTTTAGTTTCCTGACACAGAGGAGAGAATGGCAGGTCAAGATCAGTTGACCTGAGAGTAAAAACTGGTAACAGGCAAAACACTTGCTCAGAGGTAGGGGGGAAAAAGCATTTTGCCAAGGGAAGGAAGGAAGACAAGAATGAGTGAAGAAGGGAGGGCCAGAAAGGAATTTTATCAGGTTTGCATGTTTGTTCTGTCCCTAGTGTGGCATCTAATCCTATCAAATTAGTAATCACACAATGGACTGAGATTAATGAATAAAAACGTGTTTAACAAGAAAAAAGTGTACACTAGACATGTGTGAGTATGGGCAGTATTCCTTACAGAATCCACCACCTGTGAGGGTGGACCAGCTACCCCAAGATCAAAGGACTTGTGCTTCAAATTCTGGTAAAAGTTATATTGTAAGTGGGAGGGGGAAAATCCACCCACTAAGAACAGAGATGGCAATGAGCTCACCTGGGACCTTGCTTCCCTTTGCTCAGGAGCCATGTCCTTTTTCTGGGCTCTTCTCCCCAGGGTGGGTGCAGTTTCCAGAAGGCAGATCTAAGAGAAGAAAAAGGAACCACAAGAAAGCCCCCTCTGCTTTCCACCCCTCAGAATCAGGAGCTCTGAAATTCTTTGAGACCCCCATGTGCCCAGAGAGGAAAGTCACGAGCTGGGAGTGGACAAAATCAGAGAAAAGGGCTGGGGCCATCCTGGATCAGGGCCCCACTCTTTGTGACTCTGTAGCTTTCCAGAAGCAAGACTCAGAAAGACATGGGACTTCATCAGCAGCAGGGACTCACTGAGCCTCACCAGGTGCCAGGCACCAACAGGCTTACACTGTTCAATTCCACATAGTCAGATGACATTGCTAGCACTCCATTTCACAGATCAGAAAAGTGAGGACAGAGTGCACCAGTTCACACAGCCAGTGAGAATGGCGCCAGGATTCAGGTCCCTGAGCATCCGCTCTAACCTCACTGTGCAACTTGCAATTTTTCCTCCAAAATTTCTACCCAAATTCCTCTGTCTCCTTTCAATGAATCAATTTCCAGATTTTAGAGAAAGCTGTTTCAGAAAAGGAAAACAGTGGTTTTCCTATAGAGGGAAGGGGGTCAAGTGCAGAAACCAAAAACTTGGGTACCAGTCTTAATTGTGCCATAGGGGCACCCTGCACCGGTCTCTTCGGTGAAACAGATCACGATGTCTGCCACCGCACAGTGCTGAAGCCATAGGGACGAAGCTTATTTTCTCACACATTCCAAAGAGGCCGGCAGGAAACCAAACGCTGGCAGGGCAAGGCAGAGTAGGGCAGGGAACCAATGTCAACATCTTAAAAAATTACAAAACAACATATTAATAAGTTTTTTTTAATATAGAAAAGAAGAAAATTTATCCTGTACTTAGGATTTGTGTTGTAAAATGAGCTGTTAACCCTTCTATTTATTCCTTTAAGAATTAGGTAATTTCCCAGTGTGCTGTGTTTTGGGAGGCTGAGGCAAAACGATAGTGAGTTCAAAGCCAGCCTCAGCAACTTAGCAAGGCCTGAGTAACTCAGAGAGACCCTGTCTCTAAATAAAATATTTTAAAAAGGGCTGGGGATGTGGGTCAGTGATTAAGCACTCATGGGTTCAATCTCTGGTACCCCCCAAAAAAATTAGGTAATTTTTTCAGTCTAAATAATTCATAAGAGACAGGCACAGTTGTGCACACATGTAGTCCCAGCTGCTTGGAGGCAGAAGCAGGAGGAATCCCTTGAGCCTAGAAGTTCAAGGTCAGCTTAGGTACACAGGAAGACTCGTGTTTATAATTAATAAGTTAAAAATAATACTTTTATAGTATCAATAATATTTTATAGGCAATTTTCTATTAAATACAGTATCACAGTTTTAATACACGAAACTATAGTGTTAATTGACAGAAATAACATATAAAACCAGAGTATAGTATCTCTTCATATTTTTACAAGTATCTCTTTTAGGCATCTCAAACTTAGCATGTTTAAAATTAGATTTTTAGCAAGTGTCTCTTTTGGGCATTTCAAATTTAGCATATTTAAACTTTGATATTTTGCCTTCTGTCCTAAGTCAGTTTTGATCACATTTAAATAAAAAAATAACACCTGCATTTTATTTCTTAGAGCAGTTTTAAGTCCACAGTAAAATTGAACAGGAATTAGAGACAGTCCCCAGATCCACCTGTACCCACCCCCAACATGCGTACATACCCTCCCCAATTAATATCCTGCATCAGAGGAATGCATTTATTACAAATGAATAACCTACATTGACATGTCAATATCATCCAAAGTCCTGTTTAAATTAAGGTTCATTTCTGGTGTTGTTCTTCCTCTCTTCCTTCCTTCCTTCCTTCCTTCCTTCCTTCCTTCCTTCCTTCCTTCCTTTTTTCCTCCCTTCCTCTCTTCCTTCTTTTCTCCCTTTCACCCTTTCTCCGTTTTTCCCTTTCTTTCTGCATTTTGGGTTAAAACTAGGGCTCTGACCATGCTGAACACATACTTTACCACTGATTTATTTCCTAGTCCCTATTATTATTATTATTATTATTATTATTATTAGAGGGGGCTGTCTCAATTAATGATAATTCCTCCTTACAGAAAAAATTAAAAATTTCCTTAATCTCTCTCTCTTTTATTATACTTCACATTGATCCATTAGTAAAGTTAAGACTTTTCCAAATCTCAAAGCCTGACCCGTCATAAAAGAATAGTTATGGTCCTATCTTTCTCTTAATCTGCAACACCAGTGTTTTTTCTCTAGATGGCAGCACAGAACAGATCATTGGTCAAATTCTAGGATTCAGTTCACAAGGAGCCTGCTTGCTTGGGGTGAATTAGTACCACTAGCCATGTATAACAACAAAACACATTCATTAACAGTGCTTGTTAAATTGCTAATGCAGATGACTTGAATAGGCATGTGAGGGTGCTTCTTACCTATGAAATTTGTCAGGGAAAAGCTATGGGGGAGGAAACAATAATCAAATATGCCCAAAGAGTTCTCTAGGGATCCAAATTAGAGCCAATCTACCCTTCCACCATATTTTCCTGCCCATTTTTATTGAGTTGCTTATTAAAAATTATATTTATGAGTTATTTAAAAATCCTTTGTCAGATGTATGGCTTGGATCTGAAATATCCCAAAGGCCCATGTGCTGAAGATTTAGCCCTTAGACTGTTAGCACTATTGGGAAGTAGTGGAATACTTAGGGTTAGCGGGAGGAAGTTAGGCCATTGGTGTCTTGCCCTTGAAGGAGACACTGTGAAGCCAATCTCTTCCTCTTTTTTTCTCTTTGCTTCCTGGATATTAGGAGGTGAGCAGTTTGTTCCACTACATGCTCCCTGCTATGATTTTTGCCTTATCACAAGCCCAAAACCAATAGTGGAACCATCAATGGACTGAAACCTCTGAAACTGTGAGCCAAAACAAATCTTTCCTTATAGGTTGATTTTTCTCAGGTATTTTGTCACAGTAATTGAAGGCTAAGTAAGATCTCTCCTCACACACTTATACACACAATGGCTATGCACTCCTGGTCTGTTTCTTGCCTTTTCATTTCTTAATGTTATCTTTTTTTTCTCTCACAAATCTTTGTAGCAGATTTATTCATAATTGTACCCTAGTTACAGAAACAATACCCCATTAGGTAGTTCCGTGTTCTTAAAGGTTTCTATAGCAAAAGGAAAAGAACATCTTGCCCCAGTCATGACTCTTCTACTTGGCATGGTTGTTTTACAGGATGAAGTCATAAAACAAAATGGAGTCACATTTGCTCCTACTATCACAATGGTGGAACAGGAAGCCACAGACCTTGTTCTGTCCCTCAGAGAGACACCCATTTGACAATCTAGGGTTCAAAGCCTTTATGAGACTCCAGAAACAAGAAGTGCTGAAAGGAAGCAAAGAGCCAAGAACAGCCACATGGAAACAAGTAAGAAAAACCATTGCATTTCACCAGCAATAGACCTCCCGTCAGGCCAGCACAGCTCAGAACAACTGGGAAAAAGAAAAAGAAAAACAAAAAATAAACTAAAACCAAAAAAGGCACCCAACTGGAGGCTGCTCCCTTGGGAGGGAAAGAGATGAGTAGAACATATATTCAACATTTTGAAGAGGCTGCCTAGGCACTGACTTCTGTCTTGTCTGATACAGGGTACTGACCTGGAATTGGCATATTTTACCTGAGGACTGCTGAGAACAAAGAACTCTGGTGTTGTGGCATCTGAGAACCTGCAGTATAGCATATAGACACCAGAGCGAGCAAGAGATTACCAGCTTCTGAAAAAAAAAACAAGAGAACTTTTTAAACTGAATTTATACTACAAAAGGCAAGAGTAGATGCATCCCTGGAAATGATGAGGGCAGCTTACAGAATCTCCAACTGAGAGGAACAGTGAAGGCCTCACCTGTACAAAGCCAGTCTGTATAGACTGGGAGAAGTGGCTGTTTTTCTTCAAATGTCCAAATCCCAGAAAAAATAGCAAGGCATAAGGAGAACCTGGGAAACAGCTCAGTCAAAAGATCTCAGACAGCCTGAGAATAAAAGTGGTTACCAAGGGTGGGGGAGGGCAAAAAGATGGGGATCTAGAGATCTAGTGTTCAGCACTAGGAATATAATTAATAGTAATAATAATAATGTATTGTATTCAGGATTTTTGCTAATGAAGAGAGCAAAAATCAGCCTCTCTTGTTCCAGGTGGAAAAATGGATAACTACGAGAGATGATGGATATGTTAATTTCTTCCAGAACCATATATATTTGGTTGACCCCTTGACCAATGCAGGAGGCACCTCACCCCTTCCCCAGTTGAAAAGTCCAATAAAACTTTTGACTCCCCCAAAACTTAAATGGCTAATAGCCTGGTATTGGCTGGAAGCCTAATGTGAACAGTTGGTTAACACATAGTTTGTATGTCATATGTATTACATGTGGTGAAAACTACATCAGAACCAGGAAAGACCCCTTTTTACCAGGATAGGCAATTTGCTGGGCAGTGGAGCTGCTGGCACCCAGGTACCCATGTCCTACAGCATTTTAAGTGAATACTTGCAATATTTGAGCTCACCGCCCTTCCAACAGGAGGTAGCCTTGCTATCACAATAGTACAGAGCCTACTACAGCCAATTATTTGCCATTATGATTTAATACCGAATCTTTACATTTGTTTACATCTTCTCTACCCTGTGAATGGCATCACATACTGTCTTTGTGGGTAAATTTTGATAAATTTTAACTTTATATAATAGATTTATGAATATTTTATGGTAGTAAGTGATAAAATAAACTATTATCAACATATATTTTACACATTTATGACATGCCTAACTTTTTCCTAAGGTTTTTTTTTTCAATATTTACGATATGGGGTTTATCTGGGAAATTTTTCAAATTGTTGCAAATCTTCAAACAAACAACCCCCCCAACACAATACAACCAACCACATTTAAGTGTACTCACTCAGTTCAAAACCATGTTGCTCAAGGGTCAGCTGTTCTGTGTGGTTCTCACTCATATCTGTAGTCTAAAAAAATTTATAAGCAGAATGGAGTAGAAGAGTAGTTACCAGGTTCAGGGATTAGGGGGCAGGGTGAAAGAAATGGAGAGTGGTCAATGGATATAAAGTTATATAGGACAAATAAATTCTAGAAATCTAATTTGCATCTTGAGTACTATAATGAATAACACTATATTATATACTCAAGATTTGCTCTGAGAATAAGTCTTAAGTGTTCTCACACCCTCACAGAAATGGTCACCATGTGAAAAGGTGATTATGATTGATAATTTGACTGGAGTAATCACACACACACACACACACACACACACACACATGAGACACGGTATACCTT